ACTTTAAAATCCAGAAATCTCAAAGTTCTGGAAGTCAAAAAAGTAGTAGCAATGAAATAATCATTTAGTGCTAAGTGTAGCCTATAATCTTAGGAAAAAATTTATTATACGGGTTGCCATATACCTGTGAGGTGGGGTCTGTTTGCCGGGGTTAAGCTTCTTGACTAAGCTGCTTAGTCTGGGGAGCCGTGACACCTTCATTTGGCCTTATGCGCTCGCTGTCAGAAGTGCAGTTAGTGCTGCAGTGCCCACGCTGAGGCTCCCGGCCCTGGTGGTCCACTGACGGAGCCTTTCAGAAGTGAGTGCTCACCGCATTAGGCTGAGCAGCTGAGGCCAAAATCTACATGTTGTTGGCCTTTATTATCACCAAGTATAGTTCCTTGTACTTCTGCATATTTTTATAAAACACTTCTGATGTTATCGATTATCACATTAACATGTCTTGTGTACATTCCCAGCTCCGTAGTCACGTTAAATATAACAGGCAAGGAGCCAGTTTTCCTAATGACTTACCAGTGTGATTATCGAGCACCGACTAGCACTGTGCTAGGCAGTCTGCGCCCTGTGCTCTCCTAACCTTAAACTCTGTTTCCTCGTGTGTACCATGGATTTCGTCATCGGACTTCCTCTTAGGTCTGCTGTGAGGATTAAACGGGTCACACATGGTTGTGTCAGGCAGGTAGCATCAGGACCACCATTACAGTAGCTCTATGCAGCAGGGTGGTGGCGTCCCCATGTTACCTACGACCGCTCTCTCGGAGCCACGCAGTGAAGGGAGTGGCAGAGCCAGGCCTGGAATGTAGATGACATCCTACAATGTAGATGTCGGTACCCCACAACCTCACTGCCTGGGCACAGGGTCTTCGAACATGGCTTTGTTGGACAAAGTGGATGCTACATGCGTGCCGAAGTACGTCTGAAGCTCGGCTTTGCTGCGGTGATGGTCACACTGGGAAATGAGCTGTGTGCAGACAGCCGTCACCTGTTCAGAAGCCGTTGTGAGGGCTCCATGCAGACATGACCGGAGTGTTGTTCTCCTCGCAGGTGCACTTCCTGAAGGAGGGGTGTGGACACGACAACGTGTGCAACAGCAACCTGAAGCTGGAGTATAAGTTTTGCACCCGAGAGGGGAGCCAGGACAAGTTCTCCTACTTGCCAATGTAAGAGCTGCTCTGTGGCAGCAGCAGATGCGGCCCTGGCTGCGTGGTGGCTTTTGTTGAAGAGGGATTTACTGAAAGCATTGTGAGGACTTGGCCAATTTTCTTTTCCTTCTTTTTTTTTCCTAATAGTCAAAAAGGTATTCCAGAACTAGTTCTAAAAGATCAGAAGGACATTGCTTTGGAAATAACAGTGACAAACAGCCCTTCCGACCCAAGGAATCCCACGAAAGACGGTGACGACGCTCACGAAGCGAAACTCGTGGCAACTTTTCCAGACACTCTGACGTACTCTGCGTACAGAGAGCTGAAGGCTTTCCCCGTGAGTATAGCTCTGGACCGGCCGGGCGGGACAGACCAGCACCGTGGCAAGAAAATGTGTTGTGATCTCGTGTGTTTTTCTGTCACAGGAGAAGCAGTTGAGTTGTGTTGCCAACCAGAATGGCTCACAAGCAGACTGTGAGCTCGGAAATCCTTTTAAAAGAAATTCCAGTGTAGGTGATGCCTTCACATCCTGAATCTTACTGTTTTAGATGCCATTACAATGTCAATGTGCTTGGCCTGTCTTAATGGCTATTTTTACATTTTAGGTTACTTTTTATTTGATTTTGAGTACAACTGAGCTCACCTTTGACACCACAGATCTGGATATTAATCTGAAGTTGGAAACGTAAGAGTTGCTTCAACCTTCCCATTTAGAATTATTTCATGAAAACACAGCCAGTCAATGAATTGGCCCTTATTTAATTCATAAAAGCAGTGTAATTGTAATGAGAACACTGACTGTTAAAATAAAACCCCATTGTTTCCTTTTCACTTTCAGAACAAGCAATCAGGATAATTTGGCTTCAATTACAGCTTCGGCAAAAGTGGTCATTGAACTGCTTTTATCGGTCTCTGGGTAAGTGTTTGTGTTTAGCATAGCAAATCAGTGTTTGAAAGGACCATTTACAATCCTCACTACAACTGGTGTTTTTTAATTTACCAGCGTTGCCAGACCATCCCAGGTGTACTTTGGAGGTACAGTTCTTGGTGAGCAAGCTATGAAATCTGAGGACCAAGTGGGAAGTTTGATAGAGTATGAGTTCAGGGTAAGTCGTAGCAGTTGGTCCTTTTGTTATAGAGACCAGAAGGTAACACATACTACATATGGTCTTTAAAAATTAAAATATGTAACTTTAATAAATAATGTTAATAAGCAAGCCTGATAAACACTTTGTGAAAAGTGAGCTTGCTGGTTTTTAATCAACATACTGGTGTAAGTTTTCTCCTCCAGAACAGAGAACAATGGTTGTCATTCAACACAGGACAGTGTTCAGAATCCAGTTCAGTTTGGTCTTTTCTTACTAGAGAGTTTTATGTATATGTGACACAGAAACAAACGGATGCCCCCTGCCCCCGGTTCTGTCCATAAAATACAGGCAAATATCAAAGTCATTTATATCTAGCTGTAGAATGTGTTATGATTTATTTCTTCCTCCTTTTTTAAGGAGGAAGAAATAAATTTTTTATTGTCAGTAAATATTTTATTGACACCATCTCTCTTACTGCTTGTGGTTAGTGTCCACTCACCTTTCCCAGGGCCAGTTTTGTGCAGGTAAATGTGGACTTGGCACATACCAGTGAGGGAGACCAGTGACTGTTCTGAACCGTTTCCAAGTGGACAAGCAGTGACTCTGAGCCCTGCTGAATGAATAACATAGACACATGCTATAGAGTTGGCTCATAACTCGTGTGGGTCAGGTCTGTGGGGCTGGAATCATGTTCCGGCAGCAGAGTGACCACTGTTGAGGGGAATGTCTGCAACGAGCCTGCCCCGCCCACGGCAGGGTGAGTTTTCCTCCGTGTAGCTCTTAACCCGACAGACACGGCTGAGACAGGGAGTGGTAGAGGCCGGGAGAGAAGTGGGTGCATTCCAGAGTGGGCCTCCACAGACAAGAAGCACGCCACCACTTCTGGCTTCAGCTGCAGAGGTGGCTCTGAACGAGCTTGGTTCAGAGGCAAACCTGCCATCGTGGTTTACTCAGTGTCTTAGCTGTTATTCCAAACCTCCCAAGGGTAGGAGAGGACAGAAGCAGCTTCATTTTCATGGTAGGTGGCCTCTTCCAGAAGCAGGCTGTTGGTGCACTGACGCAGTACGGGCTTTGTCATATGCCCGGCAGGGTGGCTACAGACACAGGTGACTTTCCCCTGGGCACGTAGAGAGCAGAGTTTAGGTGCACCGGGGACTGTGCTGCAGGCAGGGAGCTGGGCGTAGGTGCACCACAGATTGCTGCAGGTAGGTGCACCAGGGACTGCACTTGTTCCTGGGTGAAAGGAACCATCATTTCTCTCGGACCTTTTCTATTTTTATTGACACAAATCTTTAAGCACAAATCTCTATTTTGAATGTCCTATTAATAGTCCAGTTTTAGAACCTTTGCTTTTATAGTAGGAGTACTTCAGGTATTTTGGATTTTTTTCTCTTGTCAGTAGAGCTGCTACTTAATTCTCCATCACAATAGTTACACTGAGATAACACGTATTGTTTTTCTAACAGGTCATTAACCTGGGCAAGCCTCTTAAAAACCTTGGCACAGCGACCTTGAATATCCAGTGGCCGAAAGAAATTAGCAATGGCAAATGGCTGCTTTATTTGGTGAAAGTAGAATCCAAAGGATTGGAAAAGATAGCTTGTGAGCCACAAGGTGAAATAAACTTTCTGAAACTAAAGGTATGTTGGTGGATTTATCTCAGGTCTCCATGGACGTAAATGGGAGAAGCTGACCTTCGAGGGGAAACCCATTGCTTGCCTTAGGGAAGGGATGTCCTGGTGTGCCGGGCTTTTCATTGGTGTCTTGCACGGTTGCGTGAGCAAGTCAGGTCAAGAGTGTCTGTGATGAGAGGCCATTATGGCCTCTGAGTGGGGGGTCATTCACTGCTTGTTGAAGCAGGTGACATTCCCTCCAGTTTTATGAGCCCGAATCATAAAAGGAGGACTGGGGCAGGTTCCTGGGGGGTGGCCAGCCAGTGTTGACTCCCCATAGAACCAAACTCATTCCCCAAAACACTGCACCTTAGCAAGTGACCTTGAAAGCCTTTCATTACTGTTTTTTTAAAAGAGTAAATATCGACTATTTATTGTGTCTTGGGCACTGTGCATTTTTTTTTCATTTTTTTGATTTTTTTTTTCATTTTCTCATTTCATTCTTTTGATAATCCTGTGAGGTATTTTTCTTCATCATTTCATAGTTGAGGAATTTGAAATTCAGAGAGAGAGAGAGCTGATTCAACATTCAACCTCAGCTCTGCTTGCTTTCAAAGCCTTCACGTGTAACCACTCTCTCCTGCTTTGCACTCACGTGACTGGTCTACTGCTCGTGCTCCAGTGATGGAGGCTTGTTTTGTTATTGAACATCTGCCTCTTCTCTCTGAAGTTCTAAGGTGACTGGGTGCGGTCTCTGTTCGTAGCTGGTGGCTTATAGAATGAACCTCTACTCGTGGACTTTGAAGGACAAGGTGGTCCGTATTCCTAACCCTTATTTAAGGAAAATGCAATTACAAAACTCCTTACAAGGCTTAGTTTTCAGTACTCTAATTTGAATAAGTCACATGCCAGTTCTTTTTGCTTTTTCACCTATGCACTTACTTGTTGAAGGTACGGTGACTTTTTACCATGCGTAGGCCCTGAACTGGTGCTGGGGACCCAGGAATGAGATTCGATGCCTATTTTAGGGTGCTCACAGTTTGGTGGAGACACAGAACCGAGAAAGCCTCTTTCTCTCCCTGGGTTTTAAGGTCAGAGTAGGAAGAAATGACCTTAGTAAACTTGAAGTGAGATAATAACACTTGCAGATTTTATACTTCAATTATTTTTTAAAGACTTTATTTGTTTATAGAGAGAGGGTGAGGGAGGGAGGCAGAGAGAGGGAGAGAACATCAGTGTGAGGGAGAAACACTGATTGTTTCCTTCTGCGTGCGCTCCTACTGGACACTGACCCTGCGACCCAGGCCTGCGCCCTGACCAGGAGTGGAACCCAGCGACCGTTTGCTTTATGGGATGATGCCCAACCAGCTGAGCCACATGGTCGGGGCCACACTTAAATTATTTCTGTGCCTTTGGTGACAGGAGAAGGGCAAATATTGTGGACTCTGAGTTTGGCATCATTTGGGAGGAGGTACCCACGGGGTTTGTACAGTCACGATGAAGAATTATAACCGAACGCAGGTCCAGCTGCCTCCCTCTTCGAAAGCCAATACTCGAGAGGCAGGTGCTGAGGGAAAGGGAAGAGGTTCATTCAGGTGCCGGCCACCTGGAAGATGCAGGACTCTCGTCTCAGAGCCCACCTCCGTGCAAGCAGAGGCGTTTATAAGGAGGGAGAACAGAACAAAGGCCAAGGGAGGGGCTGAGAAGTTCTCTGCGTGCAGACGAGCACAGTCCATTCCAACGAGGACAGTGACCGTCCAGTGTGCATCACCCCGGGTCAGTCATCCTGGCTCCACAGTCGAAGGTCAGCCCGTCTCCCAGAGCGGGGATGCTGAGGGTCAGGGTCTGTCTCTGTTGAAGTTAGTTCCTAGGATTCTTATACACACATGCTGTTCATCTGTAAGCTGCGTATCAGTCAGAGTCAGCATTACAGAAACAACAGAGTCAGCATGTCAGAAGGATCGTGGGGTAGGTTACAGTTCCCCACAGTTACAAGTGCCTACTGTTGGCAGAATTATGTTCAGTAGGGTGATTAGCTATATGATTCTTTCCAGGAGTCGCACAACTCCTTGAGGAAGAAACGGGAAATCGCTGAAAAACAGACTGACGAAGGCAGAAAATTGCTTTTATTTGGTGAAAGAAAATACCAGACCCTTGTAAGTAGTTTTAAGAGTTGCAACTCTGATGGAGGTTGGGAGGAAGGCCTTCCCCAGACCCTTGCACTTCAGCCCCTGCTCTTCCTTCCCTCCCCAGAACTGCAGCGTCAACGTGAAGTGCGTGAACATCCGGTGCCCGCTGCGAGGCCTGGACAGCAAGGCCTCCGTTGTTTTGCGCTCGAGGTTATGGAACGGCACGTTTCTGGAGGTGTGGCCCTCCGCGCGGCTATCCCCAGGAAGTCATTTGCCAGCTCCCAAGACATTGCTTACCTCCCTAATACATACCTTAACTTTGTCTCCAAACAGGAATATTCTAAAATGAACTACTTGGACATTCTCGTGCGGGCTTCCATCGATGTGACTGCTGCCACCGAGAACATCAAGCTGCCCAACGCTGGCACTCAGGTGAGCAGCTCTCCAGTGTTCGTTCGCAGCCAGTCACTCTCTCCTCTGCCCGCTGCCTGTGGCCTGAGGGCGTGCTGCTTCAGTGGGCCTTTCACGGCACTGTTACCCCTTATTAAGGAAGGAGAATTCAGATAACGCCCCCCCACCACGCAGTATTTCTGGGGTCATCAGATTCTGCTGTGCACATGGCAGGTTCGAGGGCTGCTGGCTCAGCGAAGTAAGAGGTGCCCCTTTCAAGTCTATAGGAACCCGTGTCTTAGACTGTCCCTGATGCTGTAGCTGTTCGCGGAGGACCCCCGTGGTGGTAACCTCACAGCTTTATGGTGTAGCTTATGCCGTGTGTGGCCAGCTGCAGTGCTTTGGCTCACCAGAAATGTTAGGGGAAAGAAGTGAGCCAAGGGGGGGGACTGTCCCCCGTTTCATTCCTAAGGAAGTAGGAAGAGAGTATCTAAGCTGCCAAAGATAAAAAGAAATGTGATGATAGGTAAAAACGCAGGGACATCACTTTTCAGAGGAATGAGATTTTTTTTTGGCTCTAAATTTGGAGAAGAACTTGAAGAAGGGTCCTTTTATAAGATGGATATCTGATAGGGGAACATTCACGAGGGGACTGTGTCTTTAATAGAGCTTTATGAAAGGTATGACAGTCCCTCCATCGGGTGATTCCTTACTCCGATACTTAGCGGCCGGGGAGGTTCCATGGCAGAGTGTGAGTGAGGGCAGCACCTGGCAGTGGAATTTAGTGCACCAGCAGAGCTTAGGCCCCTTTCCCCCCACAGGCTCGTGATGGATTAGGATCACAAGCCTAGGTCATCCCTATGCAAATGCCTAGATTTTAATGAAACTGAAAAAACTGTGTTTTTGGAGTTGGAGTACGTTTTGGTCACACTGGCCTATCACTGCGCGCCAGCAGCAGTCGCCGTGGGAAATGAGCAAAGGCTTCCCAGAACTGTGGCAACTGCAGGTCCGAGTTGGTCTCCCCTTACCCAGTTCTGAGGCCAGCATTTCCTTACCACTGATCTCAGCTGGAAAATGATGGTCATCATGAAGCAAAAACAAAAACCCTCCCCGGCTGATGTGGCTCAGCTGGTTGGAGCATTGTCCTGTAACTGAAAGGCTGTGGGTTCGATTCCCGGTCAGGGCACATGCCCAGGTTGTGGGATCCGTCCCCAGTCTGTGTGTGGACGATCCCTGGTCCTGCGTGTGCAAGAGGCACCCGATCAGTTATTCTCTCTCACATCCATGTTTCTCTCTCTCCTTCCTCTCTCCCTAAAAGCAATGAAAAAAATATCTGTGGGGGAAGATGAAAAAAAACCCCTGCAGTTGATAATTCAAGTAAACAAACTGCTAAAATCTTGCTCGCTGGCCTTGCTCACCTTCCTGGTCCCCAGCATGGCCTTGCACACAGACTCGTTTGCTGAGCACATCCACCCTTTAAAGGGGAAGCCAGCCCCCACCTTTGGCCCTCTCAGTCTTTGCCCAGTGAGTTGTGCGGGAATTCCTATAAGGCTCCAAATTCCGGTTAGAATGGTGCCAGACCCAGGGCTTAGAGCGCTCCACTGGATTCCCACCTCCCCACCCTGCCACCCTGGACTGCAGTGTTAAAAGTTACCTTGTTCTGCCAGGGTGCTGTTGGATCTTAGCCTTTTGTGGGAGTGATTTCCTCCTATTATCAGCCACTTTAAAACCTTTGGTATACAGCCCTGGCTGGTGTAGCTCAGTGTATATAAATAAAAGAAAAACATACCAACCAGCCCACCACCCCCCCCCCCCCCCATGAATGATACTAAAAAAACAAACCCACACCAAATGAGTGGGGCCCCTCTGGGCTGGGAGCCGGGGAGAAACCTCATCGAGAGCCAAACAGGACACCTGGTGGCCGGTGACGGTGTTGCCGCCGATGTAGTTGGCTGAAAATTTGAATGTGTATTTCTCCCCATGAAATGTTTGAAGAAAAGCAGTTCTCTTGCTTTTTAAGTATTTTCTGAGTCAAATGGGGTTGGTTGATGTTTTCTAGTGTAAGTAGCAAGGGAAGTACTTTAATGAAGAGATTTTTAAGACTCAGAGTAGAAACGTTCTTAGGTGGCATCCAGTGTCCAGTCCTAATGTAAATAAATACTCAGCTAAACACTTCTCAGGGGCTAAATGCTCCCTCTCAGTTTTGTTCACTCTTTATATGCTCAGAAATAGCAGAAACTGCAAAGTGGTAGATCTCTAATCGGCGCAGTTTACAAAATCACTTTCACAGCAGTCACCAGGTCTTTTACGTGCTTTGGAAAATCTCCCGGCATCACAGACACGCACTTGAATTCTAAACCCACACTGATGTTGTTGTGAATTTCCACAAACAACTTTGTAGATTCCTAAGTGAACACTTTTTATTTCATTGATACTTGCCAATTATGAAAGGTTTAGACATTGTTTCTCATCAGCTACTCTAAGCGGCCTCTGAATGAAGCCAGGGTCTACGCTGTCCACACACACTGTTGCGCGAGACAGCGCCAGGCCGTTTCAGGAGAGTTTACTGTTCGGGAGAGTCCTCAGTTTGCTGTCCTAAGGAGAACTTAAAACCGTATCCGTCATGGAGCCCCATCCCTGTTTTTGTATTTCATAGCATCTTTAAAATCTGAGTGAGGAGTGTAGGCCGATTATGCATAAACTGGCCTTCTTATTTTCATTGCTGAAAACTAATTTTTAAAAAGTGGGATCAGCTCTGGCCAGATAACTCAGCTGGTTAGAGCGTTGTCCCGGCATTCCAAGGTTGTGGGTTCGATCCCCGGTCAGGGCACATATAAGAATCGGCCAATGAATTAATAAACAGGTGGAACAGCAAATCACTGTTTCCCTCTTTCCTCCCCTCCCACCCTCCCTCCCCTGGCTCTAAAAATCAGTAAATAAAAATTTTTTAAGTGATCATTCTCAAAACGATACCGGGTTATATGGGTGAAATAAGTTTGGGCTGTGTATCAGTAACTTATAACTTGATGTTGAATGATGGTTCATTATATAATTTTATCTACTTTTTGTTGATAACAATATTTTAAAAGAGATAAATTGGCAAAGAAATAACCACTTTGTCAAAACATAATCTTGCATTTTCCAGGTTCTGGGGGAAAGATCTCTAAAGCATGCCTCTTATTAAGGGAGAAGATTTTGCATGAAAAAAGGCATCTCACCCTCCCACAGGCTGCATTGTTTAAAATGTGCCTTGAAGCATCATTAAGACTACAAATTCCTGATGTTGACTGTCTTCCTGTTTGATAATCACGTCGCTTTCTTGTGTGGCCCCTAGGTCCGTGTGACCGTGTTTCCCTCCAAGACTGTAGCTCAGCACTCAGGAGTGCCCTGGTGGGTCATTCTAGTGGCCATTCTCGCTGGAATTTTGATGCTTGCTCTATTAGTTCTTTTATTATGGAAGGTAAGTTATCTGGCACTTGAATTTATGATTGTTCACTTTATTTCATGTTTTTTAAAAAGTGAATTAACACTGATAGCATATATATATTTTATCATTGATTCCTTCTTCTCAACACTTTATTATGAAACTTTTCCAGCATATAGCAAACTTGAGAATTTTGCAATAAACACCTGCATATCTCCCTAATATCTTGTATTTAAAGATATACTATTTATATGATCTAAGTTTTTTAAATGTATAAATTTTGGTGTTTTTCACATATAATTTAGCATGTGTCGCAAATAACAATTAAAAAATTTTTTCTACTTTATCATTTTCTTCATCTAAGTTCAAATCATTTTCTAAACCTAAGCCAAATTGCTGGGTATCACAGTAATCTAAATCTGTTTCCCTGTTAATTTCAGCTTCTTTAAAGAAATATTCATGGCAACCATTGGGTTTATTACCATTGCAGCTAGGTTAGGAAGATAAAATTATGAATTTAATAAATGACTCCATCTGAAGGGGATTATCATAGCCTCTATAAAACATGAAGAAGACTTGAGTTCAATATGATGTTCTTTATTACAACTGGCCCTGCAAATAAAATGTAGTGTCCTCCCCCTGCTTCCTACCAGTAAGTAGTTTACATTACCAAAAAGTGTATGTGCGATGGATGCAAACTTTCTGTTGCCAGAGATTATGACCTATAGATTTTGGGTTTATTCTCAGTAATGGAGGTCCACAGTCCCTTATCAACAATTACAAGTGGCAAAAAAACAACAACAAACAAACTCAAAACCTTGGAAAACTGAAATTTTGTAATGACTTCTTTGGCAGCAGAACTTGACCTGATGTGAAGAGAGGCTGTTTATGGTCTTTATCCTTCATTCATTAATTTTACTACAAAAATATCGAAGTTTTGGTTACAGCAGCACTATGGATGTAACATACTGCTTTTCTAAAATGCCAGAAATTTCTAGATTTCCAAACATAACTGGTGCAGAGGGTTATGGATAAAGAATTAGTAACCTCAACCAACAATCTCCAGGGTCAAACTATCCTTGTCCTTTCCTTGGATCTAAAAGTATAATGGACCAGGTTCAGCACATTCACATTTTCAAATATTGGTCATCTTTCTCTTTTTTGCTTTATTTTTTCAAGTAGCTTCCTTTTGCCAATCTGAGATAATTTACTGGTGTCCTCCAAGTGTATGATTGAAGCTTGGTAGCTACTTACGCCGAGATTTCATTGTGCACGGTACACCAGTTGGTCCTGTGTCTGGCGTTAATTGAGGCGGTAGGCTTCTCTGGTTAAGTACAACCAACCAATATAGGGAATGCCCTGAAAATTATTTTGATAAAGAACTAGATTTAAAGTTTGATATTTGAGGATGGCCTTCTTAGGCTCTCTGAAAGAGGTCAAAAAGGATAGTCTTTTTTTGGAGCGGGACTCGTTGGCAGTCCTTTTTTTCTTTTCTTTTTTTTAAATCCTTACTCAAGGGCGTGCTTAGTGATTTTAGAGAGAGGGGAAGGGAGGGAGAGAGAGAGGGAGAAGACAGTGAAGTCAGAGAGCAGCATTGATTGGTTGCCTCTCATATGTGCCTGACTGGGGACCTCTAGGTCGCGCCCCAGCCAGGACTGAACTCACAACTGCGGTATGTGCCCTGACCAGGAATCTAACCCACAGCCTTTTGGTGTTTGGGGTGATGCTCCAATCAAGTGAGCCATGCTGGCCAGGGCTCATCGTAGGTCTTTAATGAGGGTGAGGCACAGCAGTGGGTTGAGAGTTAAGAAATCTTGGCAAATCATTTCACTTCCCTGGGATACTGGTTTGCCTTAGCTGTTTAATAAGTGAGTTTGATTAGATAATCTCACTGTCTTTTTTTTTGTAAGTTCTAAAGTGCTCTAACTCCCACCCTCACATGAAAATTATTTTTATTACTTTACAGATACTCTTCTTTCTGAAACCTAACTCTTTTTTTTATGTATTAAAGTCATAAAGTTTTAGGGCCAGAAAGGACTCTAGGTCAGTGTCCTCAAAATTGGGTTTTGCACAACCACGCATGGGTGCCAAGACTAAGCAGGGGGGCTAAGGCCAACATCCCCACTTAATCAGACCAGTTCTGATTTTATCTGCTTTAAACAGTGGGATTCTCCAGGCTGGTCTGCTCACCTTCATTTTGCAAACAGAGATGGGCATGCCTCCAAGTCGGAGGCAGGACCAGGGCTCTTGGTTCCTGGTTTCTTTCCTTTCCTGCCCCATTTAGTAGCATATGTCATTGTTACATTGGTTGGGAGTGTTCACTGTATATTAAGTTGAGAGTCACAAATAAATTTGAAGATAGGCATTCTAGGTCAACACCACCCAGTAAACTTTCTGTAATAATGGAAATGTTCTGTGGCTGCACTGTCCAATATGGTAGCTTCCATGTTGTACAAGCAGGTCTGGATTTTTACCTTTGTGAGTTGCCAGACTTGCAAGCAAATTTTGTAGGAGGGCAGAGATTCAACCATGTTATATTTCAAAGGGCAGTTCCATGGCCTTAAGAACTAGATAAAAGTGAGTATCGTTCTCCATGGCTGAATGAAGGAAATTACAGTTGAAAGTGGGATTATATTTTGATACTCATTTAGTGTTCTTAACCCAAGGAGGGTAGATTGCTGCCACTTCAGGGTTATGTGGTGGTTCAGAGTTTGGGAAAATGACTACAATCATTCTTTCATGACAGTATATTTGAATTTATATTGTGATTCACCCCACAAATTCAAAGCCCTCAAGTAGATGGCATTTGTTCCCTACAATTTACTGTGAAAAGCAGAAAAACACAGTATCCATTTTATTTTTTGTGCTAAATCTTACTTAGAGAATTTATTCTTTAACTTTTCGTCTCAATAAGCTACAGAAGTCAATCTTATGCCTATTTTAGGGCATAAGATTTTGAGTGGTTTCTAAAAAGAAACCACTCAAAGCTATAATCAGATGTGTATATACTTTCCTTTTTAGGATTTTTGTCATCAAGATTTCTGTTACAAATAGAGGAACGTCACCCGTGTAACTATTTGACCAGAGACCTAGGGTACCGTAGCTGGGGCAATTGCTGTCCCAAAGTACCGTAGCCCAGGGCTGTTTGCTTGTGGTTGATTTATACTGGTCTCTTTGTAAACAAGCTGTGAATGAAAAACGGGTTAAAATCTGAGATATTCTTTTGTTTAGCTCTTCACAAAACTGTAAAACTGACCAAATACCTTGCTTCCTTATAGTGTGGTTTCTTCAAGAGAAATAAGAAAGATCATTATGATGCTACATATCACAAGGCTGAGATCCATGCTCAGCCGTCTGATAAAGAGAGGCTTACTTCTGATGCGTAGTATTGATCTACTTCTGTAATTGGTAATTGATCAATGTTTTTTAATCGCTAGCTGTGGGACCTGCTGTGGTTGTGGTGGCTAACTTTAAGAGCAACAGCTTGCTGTGTGTGTCCCATTAACAGATGTTTTCAAATGTCCACACTGGCTTGCCTTGCTTGGACTTTTTTATTTATTTCGTTTGAAAGCTCAAGCTTGTTTTTGTTTTAATGCACAAAGAATCATTCGTTGCAGGTGAGTTATTTGTGTTGTTACTGTTGAACATCACCCATAGCAATGAAGAAAATTGCAATCTTTCTACACTCAAAAGGAGGCTTAGTAGCCCAGTTTGCCATGTATTGTTAAATCAGTATGCAGTATCCCACTTGGAATTTCAAAGATGCATAAGCAATCATTCCCGATTTCTTATCCATTTTGGAATTTCCTACAGATAGACGCTTGTGTTGACCGCCTAATTAACCTGTTGCATGTTGGAAACAGTGGTGTTTCTCTTGATGAGAAGGCTTTCTTGCTGTCATCTTTTTTATCTTGCTATTAAGTGGTGGGAGAAGGCTCGGAATGCTTTTGTTGTTGCTCAGAAATTGTTTTATGCTGGCTAAGCATGCACCTTCCTTTTCCTGTGTATCGAGGTCAAAGACCATTACAACAAACTATGACTGTTGCCCTGATGGACGTTACGGCCAATTTCAGAAGATAGTTCGTTACCAAAATGACCTTCAGTATACAAAATTCTAGTACAAAAATACCCTGGATGGTTATTTCAATATATTGTAATGGAGTTTGACCTTGTTTCATATTTCTAGAGATTTGATTCAACCTTGGGTCTCAGTTGATTTTAAGTTATGTTTTGCTTCTGTTGCTTGCAAATCCATGGGAACAGGAATTGGCAGTGATTCCTTTTTCCATTTCTGTGGGTGCGAGAGGATGGAATTCCTCCCCCAGTCCCTCCCGTGCACTGTCATGACGAACCCCAACATTTCCATTTTGGTGTACATGTCACCCTTGATTTCCTTCTTTATTGAAGTGGGGCAAGAGCCACATTTTGTAATAGATACGTATTTTTTGGCTGTTTTGCCCAAAATAATAAAGGAGTCCATGTAGAAATGGCCTTAGAACATTTCTTGGTCCAGTATTCCTATTGATTTCAGTAATAACTATATGCATAATTTTATTTTGCCCCATGACACTTTTATTACATAATTTCATTCAACACAAATGTTCTGTTCCTGGTGAGTTTGCATAATAAACACATTAATCGACCATTCTAAGTATCTTCCTCATCCATCTGCATTTTTTCATTGAAAACATCTTTTTTAAAAAAGGCACTTATATATTTTATTCATTTAAAATACTCAGTCTGATTGTTTAATTATCCAGATATATTCCAATAGAAATCTACTTTGAATCAGGTTGAATATTTTGTAAAAAATGAATAAAATGTATATCGATTTAAAAAGAGAGAAATTAGGTAGTGCTCTGAAATTCAATCTAGTAATACATTCTTCACGTTCTCTGGTACATGATTGATTTTTCTGCAAGACAGAGTTCCTATGAGATTTATTAATGAAACAGCTTAATTTGGAAGCACAAATCCAGGCAGTGTAAATTACCTTCTAGCTAATGCGTGCTGTGTCCTGGGGCCTCGGAGAAGAGACAGTCCTTAAACTGACCCATTTGAACACTGGCCTATTCAAACTGTAATTCATAAAATATCTGTCACCCGAGTTTCATTATGTTAGTGGGACAGGGGCATGAAATAATCTTTGGTGTATGACCTTTAAAAAATTGCTTCTCAAAACGATGTTCTAATCTAAAACATAGCTCTTTTATATGTAGTATTGTAATTATTTTTAAAAATGGAGGCACTGTTTCAGAAACATAAATTTTAGTAAGGAGATAGCTTACATGGTTTCAGAGTGTGAAGACAAGATGGAAAAACAGACTTTTCTTCCAGTTTTACAGCTCTTTTTCTTTCCCATTTATCCCCACTGGCTTCTCAACCTATTAGATCTTTCTCACAAGAAAACCACATCTTTTTCCCTTAGTCCAGACGTAGGCAGAGCTGAAGAGAAAGCTCAGATGCTCCCGTGGAGCGCCCTTGCTTTCCTCGAGATCACTTACCGGCTTCTGCTTCCCCCTCCAGTGCGGATTCTTCAGACGCTCCAGGTACGACGACAGCATTCCCCGCTACCAAGCCGTGAAGATCCCGAAAGAAGAGCGAGAGATCAAAGATGAGAAATATAATGATAACCTGGAAAAAAAACAGTGGATCACAAGGTGGAATGACGATGAAAGCTACTCCTAGGGGGCCCAGAGGAGCCTTCGCCCAAACTGCTTCTTTTTTCACCCAACTCAGAAATTCAAATGGTTTAAAAGCCTGATATCCGAATATTGATTTCAGACAGGCCACACCTAGTACGAACCTACAGTTTTAACTGCTGTGGACATTCTCATGTAACCCAAGGCTTCTCTTTTGCACAGCCAAAGTAAGACTGTTGGGACGGATTTTTCTTTAACTGCCTTAATTTAACTCTCTGGATTGCCTTTGTGTTTGGTGTGGCTGACTCAGTGTGTGCCAGGAAGGGCCTGCCCAGTCACGCTCATCGGACGTCCTCCTGATGGTGTAGCTGGAAGACGCCACCCCAGTCACCATGCCAGTGGAGTGACTGTCGACGCTGCCTCCGCAAGCATCTCCCCACAGGATTTGGAGAACCTGCCAGTTCCCTGTGCGCCCCACACAAGACAGTGCCATAAGGGTACTGTGTTTCAATTCAAAGTGCGATCTTAAATTAAATGTGCAATAGGAGGTGATGTTGGCCATCCTGCCATCTTTTCCCATTTCCTAGGTGTGTGGATACCTGTTCACACCGAATGCACCTGGGCTCCATTCTCCCTTGTCACTAAAACACACACGTGCAACAGACTTGAATGCTAGTTATACTTGTTTGTATATGGTATTTATTTTTTATTTTTTACAAACCATTTTGTTATTGACTAACAGGCCAAAGATGCTCCAGTTATCATTCAGGTTGGATTAAGCAATCAGAATTAGAACCTGGGAGGTCAATGGTTTGACCTGAAGTCTTTACTGCAAAAAAGAAAGTAATTCTTTATAAATGTACCAGAGAGTTGTTATAATTTACAGATAAGTTATTAAAACATCTTCCTTCATGACAATGCTTACCCTTACCCAGTCCTTCCAAACCCCCAAAGGTTTGTTTAAAAAATAGGCTTAACTGTTAGATGTTTAATTCTTAACAGATATCGGATGTGTTTGAGTTTAGAGCCCTGTGTGATCATTCTGAATTTCATGCTATAACTTTCAGGAACTCTTGGGAATAATGGGTTTGTTTTTTGACCTTCTGTCCCTGCTGTATATACAGGACTTGAAAGAAATGGTGAGTGCCTATGGTGGATCCAGACCGATCCAGTGGAAGACTACTGAATACCTGATACAAAAGTCAGAGTAGGACGTTGTGGATTTTAAGTTTTAAATATTATTGGAATTGCTTAATGTGGGTCAGTGTTCCTTTCTTTTCTGCGTTTCCTCCCCTATCTGTATCCCCAAAATTATTTTAGGACTACTCTAACAAGGACTTTAAACTGTTTTTTATATATAAAAGTGGAGCAGCGTAGGAAGATATGATTCTGTACATTCAATATAGATTGAATAGATGGGAAAGCCGAATTTTTCAAAAAAAATGACTGTGTTTCAAAGCGTTCAGTTACGTGGAGAGCAGCAGCAACCAGGTGCTAATTTGTTCAGATGTATGAAGCAGTGTCTCCTTCTTTTAAAGGAAAAATACAGCTGTGTACCATTGTTGCTTTGGAGTTGGTTTTTTGGAAATCTTAACACCCTTAAGATACTAAAAACATTGTTCTAGTAGTATTTTGGACTTTTCATTCACAGAAATTGTTTTACAAATGATATTTTGTTTACAAAAATCTTTCCAATAGGTCATAACAGTGTCTAAAATCTCAGTTTCTTGCTTAGGTAGGTAACTTGGAACCTCATGCACTGGCTTTGTAGGTTGCTAAGAAGCTGATATTTTGAACATGTTTATAGACCTTTGTTATAAAAACCGATGTCCTTGAAAAGGGGGGAGAGGGTGGAAGGGTAGTTCACTGACAAAGAAATGGGAATGTAGTGATGTTTAAAAATGTCATCTCAAGTCAAGTCACTGGTCTGTTTGCATTTGATACGTTTTTATACTAACTAGCATTGTAAAATTATTTCATGATTAGGAAATACCTGTGGATATTTGTATAAAAGTGTGAAATAAATTTTTTATGAAAATGTTCATTGCTTAGTAACATGGCATTATATATGTGAAACAAACTCTCAAATTATAAGTCATCTGAATTGCTTTTCTTTTTATTGCATCAGCCAAACTAATGTTTTCAATGTTTTTATTTATTCTTCGTGTCCCATATAATTTCAGATCAGCCAAAGATGTTAGTACTGTCCCCTCTCCCCTAGAAATGCAATGCAGATAAGATTGAGGATTCTTTTTCCCCCCTTTGGCTCTCCTGTCAGTTGATACTCAAAAGGAAATGATCTTAAAGATGGTTTGTTCAAGATATCTACGAACAGGGAGATACCTGTTCCTGCTGACTTACCTGCTCCAGGGGCTGTGCCTGCAAAGGATGGGGTATTATTTAGCAGTGACACTATGGCGTGACAAATAAAGGTTCTAGTGGCTAAGTTGATTTCTTCTTAGAACATACTTGGGATGTGAGAGCAGTCCAGCTGTGACATGTGTCATTACATTGTCTGCCAAGGACTGATTGCACCAAGTTGACTGGTCAGATTTTTTTTTTTAATCAAAGGATTCTGTTTAAAGTGATTTTATGAGACTTCTTATATGAAGATATATAGATATATAAATGTCCCAAAGAAGTGTGCAGTTGTACTTTTTAATGCAGGGCTAAAGGCTGTGAATCTTTTTTGGTAGCCACAGTTCCATGGATATACCCAGATTAAATTTCTGTAATAATGTATAGTCACCATAACCATTAAGGACGTCAGTAGCTGCAGTCTGGCTAACAAGTGACCCACACTGGAGGGCATAGCAGTGCTTTATATGACTCCTGTAATCCCACTTCTTTCTCTCCCTCTCAAAATGCACACAGGCGTGCCCAGCAGTGATAATGGCATTAATAGTACAGGGCTGTCCTTGGATTCATTTGCAAACACTGACACTTGGTTGCAGAGCACTTGCCACAATCCTACGTGAGTGATGCCCAGTCATGGTTCCTGTTGTGCCCTTGTAGGGCAGAGGTAGGTGGGGAATGTTTTAAACTGGCATAAGACCGAGCGTTCTACCCTAAAGGAAAACACCTTAATGAGCAACCGATCTCATACACTAGCTCATGGAACGGCAACCGATCTCATACACTAGCTCATGGAACGGCATACACTAGCTTCAGACTGGAGTTGATAGGTTGTTTTGTTTTGAAGGAGAGTGGAATGCTGGAGGTAGCTGGGTTCCATGACAGTACGTCCTCGGGGCTGAGAAAACTGTGGAAGAGCTATTCGATCAGCCTGAGTAGCGTAAAGTAAATGGTTAGAGGCAGTTCCTCGAGACCAGGGGATAGGGTCCAACCACCTAGATTGAGGGGAAGGCAAGGTTCCAAGAAATGAAGAAAGTGAACTTGAGAATGATTTCAAAAGAGTGGCTATTGCAGAGAAGGTAATGGGTTATTCTAGGAGTTCCTGACTATGGTAAATGGCAAGCAAGTATTTTCTTTCTCGTGCCGTAAAAAACAGGGTTTGCCAACTCAGAAAGGCACCCTACCCAGCTGGCAGAATGTAGGAGTGAGTGCTGCGTACCAGTGGCTGAAGCAGGGCCTGTAGTAGTGATGTTGCCAGAAGACCCATCAGAGGAGGAAGTTATAAAGGGGATTCATGGTTAAATCCTCTAAAGATTAGTGAACTGTACAACACAAATCTGAGTAAGAAAGCTGGTCCAGCAGAGTGCAGGGGTGGACGTGCGCCCACAGAGGGTAAAGCTAACCAGATAATGGTTGATCACACGACTGAAAGAGTCAAGTGCAATTTTTGCAGCAGTCAGTCATCAAAGTTTAAATGCCTCAATTTCCCCTTCGGTCTTTCCCTAAAGCCATTTCTCAGTCTAAGTGCATCAGGGTCATTGAGATGGGCACAGACAGACCTATTAGTGGTCTGATAGATTTCTCATGTACTGTTCCTTCTAACAGAACAGCCACAGAATTTCAAATGACAGGGACAGAGCTTGTTGCTTTTATTTTCTTAAGGCCCAGCAGATAAATATTCAATTCATCAATAACCTGTAGATTTGAGTGTTCTCTTAAGATCCTGACATTTGAGATAGAGTTAGACATGGTTTAAGGATTTTTTCCCTGAAACGTCTACGAGGACGTTATTAGGCTCTGGGGGTACACACACAAATGACACTGGCTCTGACCCTTCAGAGGAAGCTTATATTTTGTTTTTTAAATCCACTTTTATTATTTATTCTATTATAGTTGTTCCCACATTTTCTCCCTTTCCCTTTCACCACCCCGTCCCACTCTCCCCCCCTAAGCCAATCCCCATACTGTTGTCCATGTCCATAGGTTGTACACGAATGTTCTTTGGTTAGTCCCTCTCCCGTCTTTCATCCCACCACCCCCCTTTCTGACAGCTGTCAGTCTGTCTCGTGCATCTGATCTTCTGTGACTGTGTTGTTCATTAGTTCATTGTGTTCATTAGATTCCATATATAAAAGTGAGGTCATGTGGTATTTGTCTTTCACTGACTGACTTATTTCACTTAGCATAACATTCTCTAGGTCCATTCATGCTGTTGTAAAATATCAGTTTCTTCTTTCTTACTGCTGTGTAGTGTTCCATTGTGTAAATGTACCACAGCTTTTTTATCCACTCATCTGATGGGCACTGTGGCTGTTTCCGGATCTTACTCTATTATAAATAATGCTGCAATGAACATGAAGGTGTTTATATTCTCTTGAATTAGTGTTTCTGGTTTCTTTAGATAAATTCCCAGCAGTGGGATTGCTGGGTCATGAGGCAGTGCCATTTTAATTTTTTGAGGTGTCTCCAGACTGCTTTCCACAGTGGCTGCACCAGTCTGCATCCTCACCAGCACTTGTTAGTCGATTTATTGAGGATAGCCATTCTGACAGGTGTGAGGTGATATTGAGGTTTTAATTTGCAAAT